TTACAAGAATACAGTGTGCACTCAAACAAGGTTGTGTAAGATGAATTCTAATCACAGTGTCTCTGCGTACAAAGGGAGCATTCTCAGATTCATGTAAACAACAAGTGCACACTTCACTTTTGAGCATGTGTTTTTTATTAACCAATTTTGATGAGCATTTTTTAGACACACATTGGGTGCTGACTGTCAAACTACATTTGAAGTGTAATGTTATATATTAACCATTGTAATAGTCATTTTATGTTAATCCTCATTCACAAATAGAAATATTTTAAAGTAATAAATTTACTGTGTTTACAATATTTTTAGCTAGTTGTGGACATCATTTATCAATTATTTCATGACATTTTTATTGAAAATGTGTCAACTACATGTAAGTGAAAATGACAGACAATTTGAATTGACTGGAGAAAACATGGAAAGACTAGACTGTGTATCTAGTCAAATGCTATTATTCAATCAAAACTTGTATATTTCCAGCTCTACTGATCAAGTAACATCTGATATTCAATCACTGATGATCTCGATGATACTAATTTCAGTGGTGGCCATTTGTTTTTACAAATATATAACTAGTATGTTTTTATTCATGAATCTCCATTGAAGCCGACATACATACATTGGGTTGTACCAGTACTTTTTGTACAAAGCTCCAAATTGTTTTTTCTTATAATATATTAATAATAATAATAATAATATCTTTATTGCATCCTTAATATAACACTTTCTATTGGTTAATAGCAATATGTATATAAAATTAATGTACCGATAGTACTAAAAGAGAGAAAGTCAGTATTACAAATCAAGAGAATGTTCATTTCTTAAAATGCAAGAATTGTGAATAGAATTGCTATTAGCTTAATTGTATTTTCATTAAACAAATGAATTTCTGTAGATTAGTGATGTTTTCATTTGGGAATATGATATTTGAGAGAGTTTCGTTTCGCTGTGTTTGGTATTTTGGACATACTAAAGGGAAGTGTATTTCATATCTTCCATGTCATGCAATGAACAATGTCTACAGATCCTATTTTCTAATGGTGTTTTTGGATGGGTGTGTCTTCTTTTTTCAATGGCTAAATTGTGATTACTTGTTCTGAATCAAGTTACAGAAATTCTTTGATTTGTATTTAACACATTTAAGTAGTCTTCAAAATTGTAATTAATTTTAAATTTAGGGTATGTTCTAAGTTTTGTTTTCTCATTTTCTATCCAGTAGGAGATAACTGTTGTTTAATAACGTTATGATTCATAAACATATTAAAAAACTTGCAAACATTAATAAAACACAATACCTTTGTGTGTTCATCCTCGACTCTGCATGGCCAATCTCTACGCTTTAGAAATTCTAATGTCTGTGGTCCATACAATTTTGAATACGGTAAAATCTCTTCTTTCGCACAGCAATACGCGAGACTGAAACATGGTTTCAAGGTGCTACGTAAACATTCTCATCTAAAACTCAGTCTTCCACATAATACATGTTTTTATTCACAAGCAATGTAATGACTGATCACACACCCATTTAGTGACACACGTCATCACTACGACAGAAATTACCATAATGTGTATGAACCAGCATTCTTCAGTGATGTACGGAATGTGACTAGGCTCAACTCAACTCAATTCAACTTGACCTGTGTATGTAACATCATAGGGTAATTTATTATGCATAGATTGCAAATGCTCAGATAAACTGTGTGTTTATGCACTTGTTGTTTAAAAGAATCTGTGCAAGCTCACTTTGTCTTTAAAATTCCTCGGACGGTACACAGTAATATCACACTTCTCTATGTCTCATTTTATACTGTGGTAGTAAATGGCTATGCTTGTGACCTCGAATGCATGTCCTCTCATAGAACCAGTTTTAGCCACCATATTTATTCCTACTAATTTATTTTTCTTTGATTCCTTTTCTTCCTCATGTAGCCTCCCATCCTCCGATTACAGGTACTAATCACTGTTATTAGTTGTCACTCTGTCACTAACCTCTGCTTTGACTGTGGTGTGTTCACTCTCTGCTCTGACTGTGTATGTCACTCTCTGCTCTGACTGTGTAGTGTCCACTCTCTGCTCTGACTGT